TCGAGTCAGCCCCGACTCATAGCGACCCCTCCTTGGGTTCCGAGGCAGTATCACTACGGAAGTAGGAAAGCCCTACTGTATAAACATGCATTATTTTTGTAACTTTTTAAAAAATCAAGTTTAACAAATAGCTTGAGAGGATGGTTTAGAACACTTCTCAAGATCCACAGCACCCTATCCAAGCAAAGCCCAGGACCTAATTAAACACAGCTGTCAACACTTTGAGGGGCCCTGCTGGTGCAGTGGTTAAGCACTCAGCTGCTAACCAGAAGGTAGGTGATTTGAATCTACCTGCCACTCCCCAGGAGCAAGATGTGGTAATTTGCTTCCATAAAGATTTACAGCCTTGGAAACCCTAGGGGCAGTTCTACTCTATCCTATAGAGTTGCTATGTGTTAGAATCTACTCAAATGCAATAGGTTTGTTTTAGTGTTTGGTTATCAACGCTTTGCAGTGAAGCTGACCATCAGCAATACAATATATAAAAACTGGGGGCATCACTCACCTTGAACACTTCAGAGAAGCTGACCATCAGCAATATAATATATAAAAACTGGGGGCATCACTCACCTTGAACACTTCAGAGAAAAAGCCAGACCCTATTTTCTCACAAGTGAAGTCATCCAAACGTGTCAGTCTGGAAAAGGCACTTATAAGAGCTCGATATGAAGATGGCCAAACTCTTCCCACCTGGGTCACATTCCCATCCCCTCCACCTCCTCCTTCAAAATCTTCAAGACGCTCCACACGTGGAGGAAATCCTGCAATTGAGTTCCGTTTGCTCCGATCCATAGTCCAATCACTTTTCTTCTTCTTTTAAGAAGGAACTTCACACATAGTAATTACTTGTTGAGTTTTATTTCTGTTCTGGTTTGACACTAAACAAGAGATGGAAAAGACACCTCATTAAAACCATCAATAAGCAAAGCAATAAGCTCTCACTACAAATTTACATTCTAGATCTAGATTTTTAGATTCAAAACATATCTTGTACCTTTACCTTTAAAAAGCACTGATTTAATTAAAGCCCAAGATGGACTACTCTTTAACAATAAAATGAAGATTACCAATTATATTCTAAGTACGGCTATCTAAGGTGCAACTATTGGTCTCCCCTTATCCAGAGCAAAGAAGAGTGAAGAAAATCAAAGATGGAATGAAACAATTAGTCCAAAAAACTAATGGACCATGCAAACACCAGCCTCCATGACCCTAAAACCAAAAGAACTAGATGGTGCCCAGCTACTAATGCCAACTCTGAAAGAGTTCACAATAAGAGGTCCTTGAAAACATGGGAGAAAAATGTAAGACAAAATTCAAAATAATAAAAATGACCAGGATTACAGGTTTGATAGAGACTGGTTGCTGGAACCGCTGAGACTATGGCCCTTAGACACCTCTCAGGCCTAGAACTGAACTCACTCTTGTGGCTCAATTTTCAGCCAAACAACAGTCCTATAATGCAAACAATAACATCAGAGAGGTATGCGCTCCCTAGAACAACCAACCACACAAGACCAAAAGGCAGCATTTGACCAGGGATAAAGCTCAGAAGGCAGGAATGAATAGGAAAGGACAAAAGGAAATGTAAACAAAGGGAGGAAGTGAGAAGAGTGCTGTTATATTGTAGGGCTGCAATCAGTGTCACCAACCAAAATGTAGGTGCTCTGGTAGCATACTGCCTAAGGCATCTGACTGCTAACCAGAAGGCTGGTGATTCAAACCCACCAGCCACTCCTTGGAAGCAAGGTTGGGCAATCTGCTTCCGTAGTGATACTGCCTCGGAAACCCAAGGAGGGGCTGCTGTGAGTCAGGTCTGACTCAGTGGCACATAACAACAACAACCAAAATGTGTATGAACTATTGAATGGGAAACCTATATGCTCTGTAAACTTTCACCCAAATCACCATTAAAGAAAATAAATTATATTTTAAGTAACAAAATAACAATGGTAATTAATGTGTAGCATTCATTGAGCACCTACTATCTAGAAAACACGGTATAAGAGCTTTACATATGTCATTTCATTTGATTCTCAAATAATCTATGAAATAAAATTATTATGTTCATTTCATAGAGATCAAATAATCATAGTTACTAAATGGCAAAGATAAAATTAAGATCCAAGACTATGAAAAGCATGTGCTCTTCACCGTCTCAAAATTTTCTCTTCATTTGAAAATTTGTTAAGTCCATATATATATTAAAAAAAAAGACAGCAAGGAAAGTTTGAAATTATATAATTTTAATATTATATAAATATTATATAATATGGGAGCTCTGGTGGCATAGTGCATAAGGCATTTGACTGCTAACCAGAAAGCTGGTTGTTCAAACCCACCAGCCACTCCTCGGAAGGAAGATTGGGCAATCTACTTCCGTAGTGATACTACCTCGGAAACCTAAGGAGGGGTCACTATGAATCGGATACAACTCGAGAGCAGTGAGTTTGGTTTGGTTTTATTATTATTATTATATAATATACAATTTTAAAAGAAAAAAAAATCTACATCTAAAAGCAACTTAAAATTCACTGTTGATGCATTAGCACAGTCCTACAGAAATGACTATAGAAGTCTCCATACACCTGGTACATGAATGAGAATAAAAGCACAAGCCTACTTTTTTTAGTAGCCTATCTCCCTACTTCCACTTTTTTCCATGAGAATTGTTTATTAAGGTTCTCTATGATGATTCTTCAATTCACCCCACTACCTCCAACCATGGAGTAGTGGCAAGGTCTCAAGGGTCTTGTTTATAACATGACCGTGCCTCCCTAGCCTTAGCCAGAAGTGGACAATCTATCCCAAAATGGATCAATCACAATTCCTTTCCTGATAATTTGGAACTGGAATTAAAATATTCCAGCCTCAGTCTGGCTGCTTTTCTACAGAGGTTATGTAAACTCAGGAGCTGTTAGCCATGTTCATTTTCTACCATATAGCGTGAGGCAGACTTGCCAAAAGAAAAAAAAGAGATAGAGAAAGACAAAAATTCTTGATTTCCCGCCTTTGCTCTAGGCCTCAATTCCTGAAGCCTAATTGTATCCTGGGTTAGGATTCTATGAGGTATCCCTGTAAAACTATTTTTGCTCAAGCTAGTTCCACTGGATTCTTCACAGAAGGAAGAATAATCTGGGTTCCCAAAGGATAAAATATTTAAGTACCACTACTTTTAGACTTCTGAGAAGCCCTGGTGGCACAGGGGTTAAGTACTCAGCTGCTAACCAAAAAGTTGGCGATTCAAACCCACCAGCTGCTTCATAGGAGAAAAATGTGGCAGTCTGCTCCTATAAAGACTATAATGTGGGAAATCCAATGAGGCACTTCTACTCTGTCCTACAGGGTCACTATGAGTCAGAATTGACTAAATGGGCAATGGGTTACTGGACCTCTGCCAAAAAGTCATAAGGGACACAAGACCAAAAAAAAAAAAAAAAGCCTAAGGCCATAAGACCAAAAATTCACGGTCATAAAACAAAAAATTCTTAGTTTTATAGCCAGCAAAGACCATCAAGTCTAGTCACTTGTTTTATACTTAAGGAAACATAAGGCCAAAAAAGGAGCTCTGGTGGTGCAGTAGTTAAAGTATTCAACTGCTAACCCACCAGCTGTTGTTCTACAGAAGATAAGACAGTCTGCTTCCATAAACATTTACAGCCTTGGAAACCCTATGGGGCAGCTCTCCTCTGTCCTACAGACTCACTATGAGTCAGATGGGTGGGTGGGTTTGTAAGGCGAAAAAAAAAAAGTGGAAATGATTGGGCCATAGCAATAAGCTATTTGGGGGCAGTGATGGTTCAGTAGAAGAACTATCACCTTCCATGTGGGAGACTCAGGTTCAATTCCCATGGTCAGGCAATGTACCTCAAGACTATGTACTTTTCAACTAGACAGTCTAGGAAGAAAGTACTGGCAATCTACTTCCAAAAGGCAATGAAAACCCTCTGCATCACAATGATCTGATCCAGTTGTGCATGGGGTCACCATGAATCAGGGGCCAACTAAAAAGTGGCTAACAATGATAAGCTATTTACTAGCAAAGTAAACTGGGACCAAGAGTAGTGCAGTTTTCAGAATATGCCCATTGGTCATCTGTTCCAAATTACCTGAGGAGTTTGTTTAAAACCCACATTTCAGTACCTGGGTGGCACAAAAGATTAAGTGTTTGACTACTAACTGAAAGGTTGGCAGTTTGAACCCACCCAGAAGTGCAAAAGGTCACAGCCATGGAGGAAAAAAAAAAAAAAAAAAAAATTAAATAGCCAATTTAAAATCATGATTCAGAATTTCTTGAGCAGTGAGACCTGAAAATTTTGTCAAGGTCCCTTCAATGTCTCATGGATGATTTTTTACATATACTAAGAGTTGAAGAGCTTCTATAGCAGGCAAAGGGAATTTAAGAGCCTTTTTAAAACACACAGAATATTGCAAATATTTCATTTAAACCTCAAGACATTTCCTCATCTAAGCCTCAAGGTAGGTGTAATCCCATTTTATAGACAAAGAAATGTAGGCTCAGGATGTTAAGTAACTTGCCTAAGGATACACAAGCTGGTAGGACCAGAATTGGAACCAGGTCCATCCAACACCAAAACTCAAGCTTCTTCCATTTCATCATTCCTTAGGTTCAATGCTTTCCCACTATGAGAGTTGTAAGGAGTTAAAACAGTCATATGGGTAGAAAAGAGGACCAGGATTTACATGCAAAGGAAAGCCAGGCTGATTATAATTTGAATAAAGATAGAAAAGAAGGAAAAAGAAACTAAACTTTAAGGGAAATAAATACAAAATATTAAAGTTGAAACCAATTACATAAAACATACCAAAACCACTGCCATAGAGTCAATCCTGGCTTATAGCAACCCTTTAGGACAGAGTAGAACTTCCTCATAGAATTTCAAGGCTATAAATCTTTACAGAAGCAGACTGTCTCATCTTTCTCCCACAGAACAGCCAGTGGGTGTGAACTACCAACCTTTTACCTAGCAGCTAAATGCTTTAACAACCACCATACCATTCTGGCCCCTCATATAAAACAGAGTTGCCTACTAAACTAACTAAACAATTTGACAGGCTTTCATCTATGGACTGCTTCATTTTTTTAAATGAATTTCATTTTGAATGACACACACTGTTAACCATCACAATGCCTTCAGGATTGGGAAGGGGGGAGTTGGCATATCCTAGTTCTCCATGCTAAAGGGTAAAGACAGAATTGTTCACCACAGCTCAGCAGGTCTGGTTTTACATTCTCAGCTAAGTGGAAGGAAGTAAGGAATTGCAGCTAAACTGCTATGGCAGGAGTCTATTACAAGTTTCAAAACAGCACAATAGACTGGTAATTTTGATATTTTTATTTTGAAAATATGATTTTGTGTTAGGACCACAGCACTTTCCAAGAGGAGGGGAAAAGTATTTGAAATTGCATTAAGGGCAGGGTTGCAGAGCCAATTATTGCAATTGCTCTCAATAAGCTGTATTCCGTAAAACTTGAAGAGGCAGAAGTTGTGTGATAGGGTAGGATTGTAAAATGGTACAACCATTATGGAAAACAGTATGGTGTTTCCTTAAAAGTCCAGAAATAGAAATACCTAATGATCTAGCAATCCCACACCTAAGTATATATCCTGGAAATATAAAAGCAGGAACACAAATAGACATATGCACACCTATGTTAATTGCTGCAAAAAGATAGAAACAACATAAGTGCCCATCAATGGATGAACAGATAAACTATGGTATGTACATACATACAACAGAATATTCTGCAACTATAAAGAATAATGAGATGTCCCCAAAACACCTTTTAACATGGATCTAGAAGACATTATGCTGAGTGAAATAAGTCAATCACAAAAAGACAAATATTGTATGG